TTTACAAATGTTGATAATCAAAGTGTCTTAGTTCAAACCATTTTAGATGTTGCAGTGAACTAATCAATTTTATTAACTGTGTAATGATTTTTTCTCACGCAAAGTTAGAACTCATGTCAAAGCTGTTACAGAGTAATTATGCCTTTTCTGATTTCTGCTTTTGAATGAGCAAGTGTAAGTTGGTCCAAGGTTGGAGTCAAACGCAAAACAAGTTGTTAGAACGAACTATCATGTTTTTAGAATCCTCTCAGACGTAAATATAGAGGTTTTTGGCACCTGTTTCTGAAACGCGCCAAAACAAAACTCTCTCTGTCTGTGAGAACATTTCTGATCTTTCCATAACAATTCTTGCTGTCTTCTAACCTCTTACGTCACAAAACACACCCCGTCTGGTCGGTTCTGACCAATGGGAATACTCCCAAAAGTGGACCGGAAAGCAGCTCTTTAAAATGTCAGTACTTCCTGGTCTACTCGGCTCTGCTCGAGATCTGTAAACTACACAGTTCTGTTAGAAGCTCTGGGATGGTGCTGGAACAGTTCTGGGACAGTTCTGTTCAGTTCTGATGGAGTGCTGTTGAAGTTCTGGAGAAGTTCTGTTGCGCGGACAGTTCTGTGAGAGACGGGATGATCCTGACATGACAACAGAGCTCTTCCGAGTTCCATGGGATTATAACATTTTCACTCGCCACTACTTCTGACGATTCACAGCATCCTAAGGAGACGCTGGACAGGTAGCGTTAACGGGCTCCATATCTGCTGATTCACCTCAGAAAGGTAACGAGTCAAGTTTCCTACCAAGCGTACCGGGGAGAGCTGGGTTCTGACGGAGAGTGTCAATTCTGGTGAACACTTCCCCTCCCATACCATCTTTACTCCCTCTAAACTTCTTTCCCATCTTTAAACTTTCTATCAAGTAGATATACTTCCAGATATTTAGAAATGTCTGTGTAAAATGCTCATCCACATCCGTGTGGGTAAAAGATCATAATTGTACAGTTTCATAAATGTCTGTGGTGAAGCAACGGAAAAATCATGGCCGTATGATTTTTCTTGATTGATTGCTTATGTTGTTATTTTCATAATTTGCCAAATTAATGTAAATGTTTGATGTTAAATTTTGATTCTGTAAATAAATGACCGCATTCATTTTGATGGGTCAAATATAAATGACGTCTCACGTTTGCATTTCCTTACATTCAATGCACGTTTTATTCAGTTCAGAAAAATGAGGAATCCGCGTTAATTGATGAATATATCTGAGCATCTGTTCATCTACACCCTGATGATAAAAATGTTGTTGGTAATAGATCGTGCGTTGACCAAACACATTCGGATACTGTACAAAGTGGATCCAGCAGCGGTGAAGTTAGTGCACGTCAATGGCTGCAGGTTCTCAATAACAGCCCCTCCGTTGTTTACCTGGTCCGGGCACGTGGGAAGCTGGCGATGGAAACCATGACCACCAGCTGGAGAGGAAGATGCAGCGCGCAGGGCTCTAAGCTTGACCAGCCGCCCAGCATGTTTTCCCCGGCGTCTTTAGCGATATCTCCGGGCAGGGAGGTGAGGAGCGCAGCGGAGGTAAACTGGGACGCCCACCAGCGGTGGGGGTGGGGGGGTGTCCAGAGGTACGCTCATATTGGTCCAAATAAGTGACATCGGTGGCAGAAAAATGAAGATCCAGAAGCTGTTGTCGGTCATACACCAGCAGCGAGTTTATGTCCCAGATAAAAAAAACGAACAAAACACAAACAATCCGAACACCATCAGCAGAGGTGGATTGCAAGCCATGTACATGGGCGCCATCTTAACGGAAGTCAATATGAGCGGCCAGCCTTAAGAAATAAGGTGGAAGTTCATCTGGTCTTGCAGATATTTTAGGATCAAGACCTTTAACAGTTTATTAACCTCACTGACTGAGAACAGAGAAAAAGAGAAGCTGTGATTAACTGAGGATTGACTTGTAGGAGGGATTTGATTTGTAGAAGTTTGGTTATTAAGTGAAGTGGCTGATCTTCCATTAGTAACTGTGTCAAATAAAGAACTAGAAGCAACAAAATGTTTGTTGAAACAGTTCAGGATCTCGTGCTTATTTGACACAGGAACAGAGTTAACGAGAAGTTGTGATGCGAGGTCAGATGATTGGGGGGTGCCTGAGAGAGATTTTATGATTTTCTATAATCTGTTAGGGTCATTTAGAATTTTGGAGGTCTGAGATAAGAAATAGTTGCATTTTGCCTTTTTTAATGGCAGTTGTGCATTTATTCCTCATTGGTCTAAAACTCAACCAATCAGTGTCTGAGTCAGATTTTCTTGCTGCAGCCCAAAGATGATCTCCCCTGTGTAGGACGTCAGCTAGTTCAGGAGTAAACCAGGGGCTGTCTCTTCCCTTTATTCTGAACTGATGAAAAGGAGCATGTTTGTTCACAAAATAAATGAAACTATTATGAAAATAGTTCCAAGTAGTGTTCATGTCGTCAGTTTATAGAATAGGATACCAGTCAAAGTGAGACAGATCCCAGAGGAATGACTATATACAGGTCCTTCTCAAAAAATTAGCATATTGTGATAAAGGTCATTATTTTCCATAATGTAATGATAAAAATGAAACTTTCATATATTTCAGATTCATTGCACACCAACTGAAATATTTCATGTCTTTAATTGTTTTAATACTGATGATTATGGCATACAGCTCATGAAAACCCAAAATGCCTGTCCCAAAAAATTAGCATATTTCATCCCACCAATGAAAGACAAGTGTTTTTAATACAAAAAACGCCAACCTTCAAAAATCATGTTCAGTTATGCACTCAATACTTGGTCGGGAATCCTTTTGCATGAATGACTGCTTCAATGCGGCGTGGCATGGAGGCAATAAGCCTGTGGCACTGCTGAGGTGTTATGGAGGCCCAGGATGCTTCGATAGCGGCCTTAAGCTCATCCAGAGTGTTGGGTCTTGTGTCTCTCAACTTTCTCTTCACAATATCCCACAGGTTCTCTATGGGGTTCAGGTCAGGAGAGTTGGCAGGCCAATTGAGCACAGTAATACCATGGTCAGTAAACCATTTACCAGTGGTTTTGGCACTGTGAGCAGGTGCCAGGTCATGCTGAAAAATGAAATCTTCATCTCCATAAAGCTTTTCAGCAGATGGAAGCATGAAGTGCTCCAAAATCTCCTGATGGCTAGCTGCATTGACCCTGCCCTTGATAAAACACAGTGGACCAACACCAGCAGCTGACATGGCACCCAAGACCATCACTGACTGTGGGTGCTTCACACTGGACTTCTGGCATTTTGGCATTTCCTTCTCTCCAGTCTTCCTCCAGACTCTGGCACCTTGATTTCCGAATGACATGCAAAATTTGCTTTCATCCGAAAAAAGTACTTTGGACCACTGAGCAACAGTCCAGTGCTGCTTCTCTGTAGCCCAGGTCAGGTGCTTCTGCCGCTGTTTCTGGTTCAAAAGTGGCTTGACCTGGGGAATGCGGTACCTGTAGCCCATTTCCTGCACACGCCTGTGCACGGTGGTTCTGGATGTTACTACTCCAGACTCAGTCCACTGCTTCCGCAGGTCCCCCAAGGTCTGGAATCGGCCCTTCTCCACAATCCTCCTCACGGTCCGGTCACCTCTTCTTGTTGTGCAGCGTTTTCTGCCACACTTTTCCCTTCCCACAGACTTCCCACTGAGGTGCCTTGATACATCACTCTGGGAACAGCCTATTCGTTCAGCAATTTCTTTGTGTCTTACCCTCTTGCTTGAGGGTGTCAATGATGGCCTTCTGGACAGCAGTCAGGTCGGCAGTCTTACCCATGATTGCGGTTTTGAGTAATGAACAAGGCTGGGAGTTTTTAAAAGCCTCAGGAATCTTTTGCAGGTGTTTAGAGTTACGTCGTTGATTCAGATGGTTAGGTTAATAGCTTGCTTAGAGAACCTTTTCATGATATGCTAATTTTTTGGGACAGGCATTTTGGGTTTTCATGAGTTGTATGCCATAATCATCAATATTAAAACAATTAAAGACCTGAAATATTTCAGTTGGTGTGCAATGAATCTGAAATATATGAAAGTTTCATTTTTATCATTACATTATGGAAAATAATGACTTTTATCACAATATGCTAATTTTTTGAGAAGGACCTGGATGGATGGATGGATGGATGGAAAGATAGATAGATAGATAGATAGATAGATAGATAGATAGATAGATAGA